CTCGCGTGCCTTCCATTCCTTCGAGCCACCTGGTTCCTTAGCCATCCCCACCAGGTTCTAAGCCTTTGTTAACCATCCCAAAACCTCCAATAGCACTTCCTTTCGAGGCGTGGTCTCGCCCGTGCACGTCTACGCCAATTCGCGTATTCGCGACCTTCCGTGCGCCCGTTTGTTACCCGTCTCGGGACCATCTTCTCGTACGCTCTTGCGCATGTTACCACTCGCACGTTCGCCTGCTCACGGCCATCCCAAGTGTGCGCTGTCCACCCAACATCTGCCCCTCGCGCACCGATCGTCTCTTCCGTAAAGTAAACACTTAAGGCCTTAGCCTCCAAGCGTCGTGCGCGTTGCTCCCTTGTGCACGCCTTGCACCAGTAGACCGCGTCACCCGAGCCTTCAAGCCTCGATCTCTTTAGCTTCTTGCTCGACCTCCTATGCAATCGTGCATGTTGATATCCTCGTATACGGGCTCGTGCACGTCGCTTAGGCCATGCATGCGTAGTTTTGGCCCTTTTCTCGGCCTTCTCGAGCCTTCTCGACTCTTGGACCTTCTCGTCATTGGGGCTCAAAACCCACTTCCGCATCATTCCCGCCCCCTTTAAGAATGTCCTTGCCCTCAAGGACTCGTTATCGACCATCCAAACCTTGGGAACCTCCCTTTCGACATCGACCACTAGTTGGAACATCGTCTCCTCTTCAACTGCCTTGAACCTTTTACACGTCTCGTCATGGCTCTCTTTGCCCATTACCATGATCTCTCCTGCGACATTGATTACCTCGTCTTCGTGCGTGTCTTGCTCGACCGTAATTTTTGTCTCCCACTTATCGTGCTCGACCAATTCGACCTCCGTCGCATTCTTGGACTCACCTTGGGCCTCGTCGCTTACTCGCGACTCCTTTTGCTTGATCTCAGCTTGCTCGCGCTCTCTCCTCGACCGATCGTACCCATTAGGTGGTGGTCGATTGTCACGTTGCCTCCCTCCATCAGCCCGTTCATGCATGTGTCGTGCCTCGCGTCTAGGCGACGACGTGCGTTCCTCGTGCTCTTGCCGCTGCAGTTGAAGCCCGCACAAGATCTCGTACAGACGTTGCTCAAGTCGTGTGACTGCGGCGTTGGTGTTGTTCTCGAGCGATCCAAACCTTCCTTCCATAACCTCGCTCATACTTCGCATCTGAATGTCAAGATTATCGATTTTGTCCTTCATCTCCTTG